GTATGGGGTTTGTGGGGGGCTGTGGGGTGTGCATGTGTGGTAGGGAGTGTGCATGTAGCAGTGAGTGGGGCTCCCCCCAGAGATGTGCAGGTGTGTGTGTGTGTGGGTACGGTATTTGTGGGGTATATGATTATGCAGGGCTGGCACCAATGGTAGCAACAAAGGAGAACGATCAGAAGTTTAGGGGCATAACACTTAACTTTAAGATATAAATCTGACACAAGACAGCAGGTAGAAATGATGCTGATCAGCAGTTTTTTGTCCCTGCAGAATTGCATATTTATACTCACTAGGAATTGAGCATTATTCTAATGTTGGTACTTTTGAATCCTCCTTACCCGTATTTCTAGCTTTCTTCCATTCTTTCCATTTTGTTTGGCATTAATATCTGGCTACTGTTCTGAGACATGTCTGAAATGTATTTTTCTCCTTGCTGATCAAATTTTTTCACTGTGAATTACAGGTGTCTAGTGCCTCACAGAACTGGACCCTCGAAAATAAGCATATTGAAGCAGGAGCCAAGCTTCAGTGAAGCAGCATGCTTCCACCTTTTGAACAAAGTGAGGCCCAGAAGGTGTTGCAGAAAATAGAAACCATAAAAAAGTAACAAGCCATACTAAAAGGTTTAGTCTGGTACAACTCAGAGTGAGTTGTAGTTTTGCATTGCTGAACAGCTATGCTGGAAACTTTCTATGACAAAATAATATGTAGCTTGTAAGTTATTTGTTAATTTAGATCAGCCTAACCTTTTTTTCCTGTCTTATCTGATTTAAATCACTGCTTGAAACGGTCAGTAGGATACTAGTCAGAATTCCTTACAGTTTTACTAAGAGGACTAGTGTGCTTTGTATTTAATACCATCCTATCTTTTCAATTTATATTTGGCACTCTAGCTAGAAACTCACTCATTCCTTGTTGTTATGTCTTGTTCCCATTAGACCATTAGATGTTTTTTAGTCTGCTGCCAGGACAAGTTTCCTTCTCCCATCCCACTACTTGCCTCCCATTATAGAAACACGCACTTTTACTTTTTAGCTAGAACACGTTCTGAGAGAGAAGAACTTTTGGACAATTGAAAACAGAAGAAAAATAGAGAATATTGTGACAGCCATGTTGGTTCAATTGGACAGGAATGACTCCCATCCTGTTTGGAGTGGAGTATAATAAGCTTATTTCCAATAGGAAGTGCAGGGCTGGCTTTGAAAGCAAGACTTTAGACCTCTTTAGCCCTAGTACCCTGAAGCAATAACATTTTAGGCTTCATTTCCTTAGAAGCTTTGTTGCCATTTTTAAAAAACCCAACCTTTAAATCTTGAAAGACATGGAGCGATTTTACTTCGCTTCCTCACATCTGTTAACATGCTGTGCATGTAGTAGCGGGAGTCCCTCACTGTCTCAAAACTGTACTTGAACCTTTAATTTTCATTAGGTATAAACTTGTATCAAAAACACACGGGATATGTGACATTTGGGTGATAACTTGAAAATGATCTGAGCTGTCTGTTGCTGTTAACATAAGTTTGTTTATTTGACCATTGCTTGCCGGTTTCCCAGAACTGAAACACAAGACCAAGAATTTATATACAGATTCAGTCTTTCCAGATTTTACTACTTGTGAAGAACAAAAAAGAGACTTACAGTATCTGCAGCATAACTGAATGAGGAAATGTCATGCATCATATTATTATGTATTTTTCACCAAACATATGTTCAGCATGATAATCTGGGTTTTTAACTCCACCCTTCCTCTATGTATGGCAAGCTGCATTTTACAGGGCCCGCTTTCTGAAAGTCAGAATGCATGTTTTATTTCTGGGGGTTCCTATAAGATGATTTATTTAATCACCCAGATGTGAAACTAAATCCTAATTTGGAGAGTTTGGGTTTTAAAATACTCCCAGGGTTTTAAATGTTGTTGTTTTCCTTTTACTAAAGGTAATAGAAGTCTCTAGCAACTACTGCATTTAAGCCTTTGATATAAAAATGTTGCTTGCCCTTCTTTACATGTCATCAAAATTGCTTGTATCAAAATATTCTTTACACCCCAGTTACTTCAGACTTTTTAGGTTTCTTGTCCTCCTTTTCATGGAACTTCACCTTTCACCTTTGCCTACATGTCAGAACTAGGTCTCTTTTATGCTCTGCCAATGACACCTCCATACTTCTTTCATATGTCTCTGAGCTCTCTTCTGCACTGTGCCCTATGCCTAGGATCATCATGCCTGTTTTCTAGGCTAGCAACTTTACCACATTGTATGCTCTCTTAAAAACTCATCGCTGTCATTTCACTGTTGAAAAGT